CTCAACCTGGTCCCCGGCGATTCCGGCGGCTGAAGCATCGCCGGAACCGGCAGGGAGTGGTAGATGAAGAGGAGGAGCCACCAGGCCGTGCAGAAGTAGCCAATGGCCCAACAACAGGTGTCGATGCACCTCCATTCCCTGGGACGGCGCCGTTTCGGTGTCCGTTCCTTGGGGTTCTTGCTTTTGCCGGCGCATGATGGAAGGGGGTGTTTGGGCGCAGGGACAGTGTTATCCTCGTCGGGTGTAATCTGGGATCCTTCGGGCGAGACAGAGGGTTCTTTGGAAGGCGAGAAGAAGTGCAGTTTTCGGAATCGGAGAACTGGAGGCATCAACATGTTGTTTGCTCCGAAGATGCAATTACGAGTGAATATTGGCATTGAATGAAGAAATAAGATCGAAAGAACAAATGGGTATGAATCTGAAACTTCTCTCGCTCATATCCTGAAGATTTCCGAGTTTAAACCTCGAGAATCGCGACGGAAGCACTAAAGGGGGCAGAATATTGCGAAATTTATGACGGAGAATATAGAGTTTGTGCATTTATGGAAGAAGGGCATCGAAAATCACGGGAAAAGCTGAAAGCCCTCGAAACTAAAACCCTGAAAAAAAGAATCGATGGCCGATTAGTGGGAAGCCATGAATGGTGGTAGGCCGACATATAAGAAGAAGAAGAACAAGGAGAAGAAGGAGAAGAAAGAGTGGAGAAAGATGTGACAGATGATGAAGAAGGGACAAGAACAAGATAGTATGGGTTTGCCTGATTCTCTGATCTTCTTCGTTCAAATTGTTCTCAGCAAAAAAAAAAAAAAAAAAATGTTCTCTGTGTGTATGTATGTGTGTAAGTAATGAAGATAGTTCTACGAGTAGAAAGATAACTAAGAAGTGTTTGGTTGTGTACTTTAGGACACTCGTGTTCCATTTTACATGCACCGCCACGTTTTAGTTTTTACACGTATTAGGTATAATTTACGTAGAATATACATTTCTAATAAATCCCACAAGAAAAATCGTATTTTACCATAGTTGGCAACACCAATATAATAATAACTCTGGCTTCTTCGGTTGCAAATCCCATATTCAATAATTATCTTCTATTCTAGAATCCCACAAGAAATTTGGTGGAATTATCACTCCGTAATATCCTATAGCGAAAATTATAAAAAGATAACTAAATTTCTCGATTTTTATAAAATAAAACCTAAACTTTGTTTTTTATCTAATAAAATTTTAATTTTATTTTTAAATAAAAATTAAATCTAAATTTGATAATTATTATAATTTTTAATTTAAAATATTAATATAATATACTGATATCTTAGATGATAAATTAATATTTTAATTATATTTAATATGTTAGTTTATATTTATTTGTAACATAAAAATCAAATCGAAATTTTATTTGATAAGAAAAAAAATTTTGAATTTTATTTTGTAAAAATTAATAAGATACGTTTTAGAATTTTTCCTACCGTATACTATGGGTACACGTCATTAGAAATGTAAAACGTCGTGGGCAAATGCAGATTTCAATCATTTTTCTAATTTAAATAATATGTAAAAAAATTACATATTCGATATGTTTTTTCGTTGTCTTATTCATACGTTCTTTTTTATTGTCAAACGATACCTTTAAAAAAAAAGAAAAATTGAAGTCAGTTTTATTTTTATGGATGCATGAGGTTTGCAAAATGCTCATTGACGTGTTAGAAGTCTCGCGACCGCCCAATGCTTACGTGCTCAATGCTAGAGACTTCTTTGTGCCTCGTGGTTTACGACCATAAATTATTATTTTGTTTCCACTATGGTAATATTATATTCTTTATACATATACATACGTAAGAATGGATATAATATCCGAAAAAACTGAACTGATCCGTTATCCGATCCGTATCCGAATCGAAAATTCGAATATTCGGAGTTTACGGATCGGATACGGATATTTATTTTGAAATATTTGTCGGATACGGATACGGATATCTCAAAAATCACGGATATCCGATCTGTGCCCACCCCTATACATACGTACCATATATACGTAGATGTGCATGTATGGTATGTATGATCATACAAAAGAAAAAAATTAATACGACAAATAAATATCTAAATTTTAATTTAATCTAATTAATATATTAAATATTAAAATATTTTAAATTAATAGTTTAAATGTTTGACATATTTTAAGTATATAACATCATTTATAAAATTAATAACTCATGAAATCAATGATAATTTATAAATTTTCCTAACGATGATATATAAATTAGATGTTAATTTTTAATATAAAAACTAAATTAATGAAATCGATAATAATATTCAATTTTGACTGTAACTGTCACGGTACAGACCAAGAGATTGTCAAAAGTATTGTGTATTCAATGAAGAAGACGTTTGTCTATATGTACAAGACAACCTCTAAAACCTAGTCAGAATTGGAAAGCGAATATGTAACATGAGTTTTTCCTTATTAACATGATACATGATATATCCTATTAGTAACGATAATATATACTTTTTTTTATAATTGGTGATGTCCGATGAGATTTGAACTGTGAACGTGAAAAAAAAAAACACTTTGTATTTTTCACCACTACACCACCATTTATGGACGATAATATATAAATTAGATATTAATTTTTAATATAAAAACGAATCAATATTGTAAATAATTTTTGATTTTATGAGTTAGAGTGTTTATTTGAAATATTTTAACATTTAAAATATTTTAATATTTAAATATTAATTATATAAAATTAAATTTTAGATATTTATTTGATACAATTTATAAAATTTAGATATTTATATAAAATTTTGTCTATAAAAAAACATACGACTATATATTGGCAACTTCTTTTTTTAAGCTCCACAACGTGTACAATTAGCATCTAAAATGAAAGAGATATGCATAATACATAACTCTTTTTAACGATTGATGAAATCTCTATTTGCGTCCACGAGGAACTCTCTATAATTGATATAAGATGTTTTATGATGAACAAATGAATATCATATGGAAAGCAGGCTAATGTATTCAAATATGAGATTATTAATTAGTGTTTCGATTATAGTGAGAAACAAATGACATATTAAATACTAAAAAAATGTCGGTTAAATTATACAATATCAAATCCAATTTAATAAAAAAAATTATTATTTCAAATTGAATTCGAAATGAAGTATAATAATGAAAATGTTTTTCCTAAATAAATAATTTTTATTAATTAAAATCGAATATCAAATGTAAATTAAATCGAATATAGTATAGCAGTAGGGATTATAGTTTTAGAATTCGACCGGATTTAAAATGGATACTCTATGGAACACATACAAAAAAAAAACCATCAAATCACATATGAGAGCTATAAAATCTTAGATGATAATTGTGTACTATAATTTTACTAATTATTTTATCTTCAAAAGGATGTTCATCGTCATAATAATGATAATTTTGTTACATATGCTGCTTTCATAAACTTGATGTCTAAAAGAATTCAAATTATGAGATTCCAATTGTGAAATGAGACAAGAGGATTGTTGCGTAGCTTCACCCATTTAGGATAATATAAAAAATAGACGATATATATATATATATATATATATATATATATATATCAATCAATGATTGGGAAACATAGCACACACTACAAAGATTCTGTACACTTCTATTAAAAAAACCCACACCCCTCCCTTTGGTCCAACCCCTCAAAATCATTACCCTATTTATTGGAAATTATGTCATCTCATATGCCACATGGGGTATAACTTATGTGTTCCATTTTATGATGATTATATATATATATATATATATATATATATCACTCTCACGTCAAGGGAGTGTAATTGCATGTTAATATATTAGAAAAAGAGTTTGTAAGATAAATTTTAAATCTTTAAATGTTAAATCTAACCATATTAAAATTTAAATTAAAATTAAAGCTTTGCTGACAGAATATTCCCAATTAGCTAACAAACGGTTGATTCGGAATAAAAAAAAATTCTACATGTTTCATATATATACACTAAATACCGTCAGAAAATATAAAAGATATTACAAACTCTCCTTATTTCGCAATAAATATACATATTTTCGCATGTGTTAAAAAAATTGAAACAGACCAACCAATCACATACCTGACTGTTATTAATAATCTGATTTTGTCTCGGTTACAATTTCGAAAAGAAAAATCTATAAGTACATCCAAATATTTCCATTTCATGTTTTATCTTTCTCCTTTTTTTTTACTTTTCAAACTTAATTGAACCAAGCATATGGATCTTGCAACCGTACCGACAAACCGGCTCGACCGGTACTTTAAAATTACGAATTAGATCCGGTTAAGCAAAAGTGATAAAAAAAAATAATGAAATTATCCAATGGCAAGAATTGGACCGTTTGGGCACAGTATTTAAGGGAATCGCATAAACACGTGAAGGAAGACAACCGTTCGTGGATTAGACATGTCTACAGCGACACGACAGCGTCTACACTTTGAAATAAAAAAAAAAGACATTTACTTTTTTTTATACGTATAAATTTTTTTTATTGCTTTTAATTAGATGAATTTTGATTATTTTTTTATTCTCGTGTAAATTGGTCGAAACATCCACTTAAAGACAGTGAAAGGTTTTCATCAATAATTTTTCATATTATAATAAATATTTATTATTTAAATTTCTTCGATATGATTTAATGGTTAAAATCGAGAATTTATTCCCGTTCTTTTTTCCCCTGATTTTCCGATGTATTTGAATGAATAAATGCTAATTGATTCACAAACAGAAAAAAGCTGTCTCTTTTGTTTCATTTCAACTACAAAAAGTTCCTTTTTGTTTAAAGCTTTGAAGAACTCTATCAGAACTGTAAGAGAGGTTAGGTATATGAAGCCGATTTCGGATTACGATTAGAATATAGAAAATTATAACATTCGATTTTTATATCATTTTGATTCATTTTAATTTGATTCGTATTTAGTTTTTATTGATCAAAACTCATTTATTTATTTTTAAAATTTTTTGACTATTTTTTTATTTCATTCGGTTTCAATTTTTAGATTTAGAGAGATTATAATCCATCGATTTTTGTGTTGGATTCGCTTCGATTAAAATTATATTTTATTCTAATATTAAAATAGAAAAATAAATATAAATGTTATTCAAAATAAATATAGATTTTAGATATAATTAGAAATAATAATGAATATAATATTGTATCAAATATTGTATATATTATTTATTTGGGCAAAACTCCTAAAAAACCTCCGACTTGCAAAAATATATACAAATAAATCTTCAACTTAAAAAACTGTCATTCAATCTCCGAACTTGTAACTTGTCACTGAATAAAACTCCGAATTTGCAAATTATTGCTCTAATAAACCTTTGACTTGTTAGACCACAATTTCAGGCGATCGAAAATATATGAATTGTTTTAGAAAAAAATATACTAAAAAGGATATTTGAAAATATACATTTAATTTAGAAATATTCTTTTTAATATAATTTTTTCTAAAACCATTCATAATGAAATTAGAAATTAAAATATATTTATATTTTATTCACAAAAATCCTAAAAATTTCTGAAATTATATTTTGGAGTAATATTAATTCCCAAACTTGTAAAATTGAATACGTTAAATCCTGAACTTGTTAAAACGATTCCATAATCGTCCATATCACTATTTGGTCAAAAAAAAGAGTTGACCGATCCGACGTAGCACGTGACGTGGCGAGTCAACTCAGAAACTTACCGCCATGTCACGCACCACGTCAGATCGGTCAACTCGTTTTTTTGACCAAATAGTGTTATGGATGATTATGAAACCGTTTAACAAATTTAGGATTTAATATGTTTAATTTTACAAGTTTGAGAATTAATAGATACCTCTACAACTTTAGAAATTAATATTACTCCAAATTACAAATTTAATCTAAATTACAAGTTTAGGAATTTTTAGGGTTTTTTTCCTGTCTTTATTTGAAACCAATAGTTTTTTTTATAATTTTGATCTGGGCCCTTATTTAAAGCCCAAATTAACATGGGCACCTAAAGGAAACGACGTCGTTTACATTACGCCATGACCATCTTTCTTCTTTTGCCACGTGGCATCATGAAACGGTGGGGTAGTGTTAACTAAGACATTTGTGGTTGGAAACTATGTGAACTAGACATTTATTATTTTGTTGGATTTACTTCTTATATAGAAGCAATATTTTATTTGTAAAAGGAAATATCCAATATCTATTAAAAAATAAGGGTAAATGGAAAAAAAAAGTCATCTAATTATATTATTTTTAAGATAAAAAATAATTTTAGAATATAAATCGAAATAAAATAAAAGTAGAGAATTTTTTGATTAGTTATCCAAAAAAATAATTACGATTATATACACTCACTTTGCACGTGACGCTATTACTCAATCCACGTGCATTAGAATGTAGAAGGCGCCTCGTGTCGCGGTGTCGGTGCCATTTTGTCGCTACATATGAGAAAACTAATAAACATAAAATAAAACCTCTACGTGGCATACTAATACGGAGAGTACAAAACAAACATACGCGCGCGTATGGGAGCCAACGTTCTGCGTATGCATCATCCTGTCCCTTAAAATAACCGATGCCGTTTTCCATTTCCCGACCCAGAATTCCTTCTCACACTCACTGTCCCTCCATCACCGGCGAGACTAGAGAGCTTTGATTATCTGATCAAATCAACGGGGAAACGTTAATCATTGCAAAATGACTTCCGGCGCGGGAAGACTGGATCTGGACGGGAGGCCGATAAAGCCAGTGACAATTTGCATGATCGGAGCCGGAGGATTCATCAGCTCACACCTCAGCGAGAAGCTCATGGCGGAGACGCCTCATACGGTGCTGGCTCTTGATGTGTATAGTGACAAGATCAAGCACCTGATTGAGCCGGATTCTCTCCATTGGGCCGGTCGGATCCAATTCCATCGCCTCAACATCAAGCACGACTCTCGCCTTGAGGGTCTCATCAAGATGGCCGATCTGGTAGGTTCATCTCTCTCCCCTCCCTCTCTCTCTCTTTCCATCTGTATGCATTTGTATCCTCAGATCGTTTTCCTCTGCTTTCGCTCTCGGGAAATTAGGAATGATTCGATTGTTAGCAAATCTGTGCGTAATTATGTGCTTTCTTCAGTAGATTCTTGGTGTCCGTCCTTGATTTGTATGGCATTATGTCTTTGTGCTCTTTTCATCTTTGGGAGAGTGATATTTATGATGTCGGCTCTTCGTTTTGCTAATTTTGTGCGTTTGACTTCATCTATTGGATTTTGTGGTGTAGATTATTAATCTTGCGGCGATATGCACCCCTGCGGATTACAATACTCGTCCGCTCGATACTATTTACAACAATTTCATTGATGCTCTTCCTGTGGTAAGCAATTGTATTTCCAGTGTTTGTGGATTTAGTCCAAGACTCCAAGATTCATTGGTGGTTTAACTGTTGTTGATTGAGATTGAATGCGATATTGTTATTGATTTGTGATTTTGGGTCAATCACAAACTTGTAGGTGAAGTATTGTTCGGAAAACAATAAGCGTCTTATCCACTTCTCCACTTGTGAAGTGTATGAAAAAACTATTGGGAGCTTTCTTCCCACAGATAGTCCTCTCCGACAGGTAAGTTTTCACTGTCAATATTTTGCTGCTTGGATCTTCAGTCATCCTCCTTTCCTTTTAAAACTTGTTGATGATATGAGAGTAGATGGGCTATCTGGGTAAATCAAATGCTCTTGTGAATCCTTTCAGAAAATGCATGAGCTCTATCGGTCCTTCTGAATAGGGGGTGATTGATCTGTCATATCATGAACCTTCTAGGAACAAGGTTGATGCAAACGGTATTCTGTGGATCTATGCATTACTTGTTCTGATTTTGAGGCCTGTTTTTATGCATGCTGGATGAAATGGTTGAAGGTAATAGATTTATGGTTTGCTGAATGTATTTTGTTTCCCTTACGGGTTTCATTGTTTGGAAATTGTTTTCTGTATGTAACATTCACCAAAACTAAAAAGTTACTCCACCAAGAGGTTTTGCGTTTTGGCAAGCCTTGTATGGCTTATTACCATGTACATCTCATGTCGTCCTTTGTGTAAAAGTCTAAGCTGTTGGCTTGTTACAGGATCCTGCTTACTATGTTCTCGAAGAGGGTACTTCCCCATGCATTTCCGGTTCCATTGAGAAGCAGAGGTGGTCATATGCATGTGCGAAGCAACTGATCGAGAGGCTTATGAGAGGCTTATTTACGGTGAGTGAATTCTGAATATTGAAACCTCTTGGCCACTGGTTATGGTTATGGTCTGAAGACTGAATTTTTTTCTTGAATCTTAACAAAAAAATGTCTTTCCTTTTACAGCTGAGGGTGCAGAGAATGGACTCCAGTTCACCATTGTGAGACCATTCAACTGGATTGGACTGAGGATGGATTTCATTCCAGGCATTGACGGGCCAAGCGAAGGCGTCCCTAGGGTTCTTGCCTGTTTCAGTAACGTGAGTCTGACTCTGATATAGATTTTTAAATTCTCCATTTACTTTCCCTTTACACCTGGTCCTGTTTTTTTCCCTGCTTTTAGAATCTTCTGCGTCGTGAAAGCCTTAAGCTTGTGGATGGTGGACAGTCACAGAGAACTTTTATCTACATCAAGGATACCATTGAAGCTGTTTTACTCATGATTGTTCGTTTTCCACTTTACTCCATGTGTTCATTTATTCAAGGAATGATCTTATCCTAATCTCTATTTAAACATTCCATAGGAAAACCCAGACCGAGCAAACGGTCATATTTTCAACGTGGGCAACCCGAACAATGAAGTGACTGTGAGACAACTTGCTGAAATCATGACAGAGGTGTATACCCTATCTGATTATTCATTCGATTTACTCCAAGCTTTCGAAAACTTAGGATTTTAACTCATTTTTGGCAGGTTTATACCAAAGTCAGTGGAGAGCCTCCGATAGAGAGCCCGACAGTTGACATCAGCTCAAAATAATTCTACGGTGAAGGCTATGACGACTGCGACAAAAGAATTCCTGATATGACCATTATTAACTGTTAACTCGGTAAGTTTCGCCTTCCTCTCACAGTCAGGCAGTTAGTTGCCTTGGCACATTGAGTGAAATGTGATATTCCCAGTCTTAACTGCAACATAGATGAAACTAAACCTTCACGAGTTTTCGGTACTTGAGGGTGCGGTTAGGACTGAGTATCCGCGGGCACCCGACCGGTTATGGCTATGAGGGGAGAGGATGAAGTGAGGAAAAAGAGGCGCGAGCGGCGATGACACAGAGACGATCCAAATCCTCCTTTTTTTTTTATCTCTGAATAAATCCAAAATCCCTAATCTAGGCCTCCGATATCTTACCCTAATCTTGTGCCCGCGCCCTCGTCGTCTTGCCTCGTCTCTTATCCCCATCATGGCCTTGATCCGGCTCTTGTTCCCTCTGGTCGGGTACTTGGGTAACACACATAATCTTCGACGAATTCCAAACTTGAACTCGAAGGTCGGGTTCCCGTCCTATTACCGATCAGAGAATACTTTGAAATTTCGGATACCAGACTTACGGGTCGTTGGAGTAGTACTTGAAATTTGAGATCCCAAGGCCGCCTCTACATAAAACAAAATGAATCATATCATAATGATGTTATCATGTTGTGTAACCGATGTAACCAGGATGGAACCCGAAGACATCTCTATGGGACCTGCTCGAGTCGACACTGACCTACCAACACCGTACATACTCCGAAGCCATAAAGAAGGCCTTGTCAAAGCCAGTCGCTTCTCGTTGAGATCCCGAGCAAGGTGGACGTTATCCGTGGCTAATGTCTCGATTCTTTTCGATATGTTATTAGAATATATGATCGGTTATCTGTCGAAGATATGATAGCTCTTATGTTTCCGGCATATGTTTTAGGCATACGGAAGATATGTTATATTGATTTGTTTACCTCAAGTTATTTAATGGGTATGTACTTTACTGTTATAAAATGAAGAACTTACGATTGAATCATATTGGCTTGATGATATAACCAAGAGAAGACAATGAAAATGTATAAAGAATAAGTGAGGACAAAACCAACAGAAGTACATAATGTCACAATTACAAATTGCTGAATTCTTAGTTTATACATACATCATCTTCCAGATAGAGCATATGTGATTAGCATACTAAATTTATGTATTATAATGTAGGACATGGCTAACAATTGAGAATTGCCTTATTATATGTTAGAAAAATATGATATGGAACGGTTAGAGAAATAGAAATAAATATAGTGATTAGATATGAAAATATAGGATAACAAATCTATAATTTGGGATAAGAAAAAACTGAAACTTGGACGAAAAGGGACAAACAACAGTTTAGAGCCAAATATCGTGGAAATGCAAAGGTACGGGCTCATGATAAGCTTTCACTAAAATAGACGAAAACCGAATTAAACGACATTGAATGGGCATTTTTGTAAATTAACAAAAAAAATTAAAGTCGTCTCCCGTCTCTCTCTCCGTCGTCTCCCTCTCCCTCTCCCTCTCTCTCTCTCAACTTCTGTCAATCACTCACCTTTTGAATTCTTCAATTCGGAGGGAGCCATTTCTGTTCGAAATTAGGGATTTCAATCTCCGCTTCTGAGTTTTTTTATGTTATGCGTGAACAGTAGTTTGTTGTCGTCGTCTTCGTGGTTAGATCCGGTTTTGCGAGGTGGAACTACGCGCTTGAGGCGGCGGCGGACGGTGGATCTGAGGAAGCTGTTGCGAGATGACGGGGATAAGAGGTCTCTCCGTCTTTATCAGCGATATCCGAAATTGCCAGAACAAGGAGCAGGAGCGACTCCGCGTCGATAAGGAGCTCGGTAACATCCGTACCTGCTTCAAGAATGAGAAGGCTAGTGTTTTCTTCTTCTTCCCCCTCTAAACATTTCCTTGCCTCTATTATGTTTCATGTTTATATATCTTCGATTGAGTAGTAATTCGGTATCGGAATATCCCTTTTGTTGGGTTCGAGGGATGTGATCACATAGTGTTTCTGGTTTTCAAATTTGATTGGATAGCATGGTCGCAAGTGCCACATTCTACCCCCTTCAGGAAAATTGCGTGTAAGCGTTATTTCACCAAATAGTGGTTTACTAGAATAGCTGCATTTTTGGAGCCGAGCCATTGCTGTGCTCTTTGTAACGTCTACCATTGGCTTCTATCTAGAAGCTCATTGAGGTCTTTCATCTGGACTGGGGATATGAAACAATCGCTAGTCATTCTTCCTGACCTCCTGTAGATGATATCTTAATACCAAAAGAAAACTAGAAGGGAAAAAAAGGACCCCGCATCTATGTGTTGCCAATACATTCCGTGATGGCATGGGGTGTTCTAGGGTCCATATTGTAAGTAGCAGAGTGTAGCTGCCAAGCCTGATTATGCCTTGTCTACTTCAAAATTCATGTCAAACAGTCAAAGTTCCTCCAGCATTCCTTGATCAGCTTGATCAAGTGGATTTACATTTGACAGGTGTTGACGCCATATAAAAAGAAGAAATACGTCTGGAAAATGCTTTATATATATGTGCTGGGCTACGACGTAGATTTTGGACACATGGAACCAGTTTCTCTTATATCTGCACCAAAGTACCCAGAAAAGCAGGTACGTGGAGCTCATTTCACTTGTTTAAATGATGAAATTGTACTTTCTAAAGGTAGGAAGGGGAATTGGTCGGTGGTATTTGTTTGGCTATGAATTGATGATCTAGTCTGGCTGTAATAAGGCAGAAATTTCAGTGAAGAAGATCATGGTAGTAAGTTTTTAAAAAAATCATATAGATACTATTTGAAGTGCTAGATATGCTTGCAATTTTATTCCATTTACAAGAATCTCATTTTTTAATGGTGACATTTCCAGTTCTTTAGTGCTAACTGAGAAGTGACCAACAATATCAAGCGTTTATGAATAATTTTAGTACTCTCTGTATGTGTTCAATTCCCAAGTTTTTGAATTGGTAAATTTTACCTTTTCATGCTCTTGAAGTGACTTGCATCTATTCTTTTTTATATCCATGATTGCAGGTTGGTTACATTGTCACATCATGCTTGCTCAACGAGAACCATGATTTCCTGAGGCTGGCAATAAATATGGTGCGGAATGATATTATTGGTCGTAATGAGACTTTCCAATGTCTGGCTCTGACTTTGGTACGTGCTCTTGCATCCACAATGTGCTGAGATCTTTACAGCATAGTAATGTCGTCCGGCTAATGAGATGTGGTTGTCTGATTCAATATAGTATTATAGTATCTTTGAAGAGATTGTATCTTTTATGCTTGCTGTTCTGTGATTTGAAGCCTTTTTACCTTATCTAATTATACTTTTTGTTTGTTTGCTCTTTTTACTTGTGCGTGGGCTTTCTTCTATAGGTTGGGAATATTGGTGGAAGAGAGTTTGCTGAATCATTGGCACCTGATGTTCAAAAGCTAATTGTAAGTTACTCCGCAAAAGCTACAAAGTAAGAATTTTTACCGTAGTAGTACTGAACAGATCGATGTTAAGGGATTTGTTGGCTTTAGATTTCTAGTAGTTGCAGACCTCTTGTAAGGAAAAAAGCTGTACTGTGCTTGCTGCGCTTGTTCAGGAAAAATCAGGATGTTGTCAATGTCGATGGCTGGTATGTATCAGGATTCTGACTTCTTAGTTTCTCTGGTTGTTGTATTTTACTTGTATATCTTTCCTTTTAGCTCATTGTTTATGTATACAGGGCTGATCGGATGGCACAACTTTTGGATGAACGTGATCTTGGTGTCTTGACATCTGCTATGAGTCTTCTTGTAGCTTTGGTTTCAAATAACCACGAGGCATATAGGAGTTGTCTTTCTAAATGTGTGAAAATATTGGAACGCCTAGCTAGGAACCAGGATGTCCCTCAAGAGTACACATACTATGGTATCCCATCTCCTTGGCTCCAGGTTTGTCTTAGCTCACTTTGTAGACTTTTTTTTATAGCCCATACATTTCATTGATGACATTCATTTTTCCTTCACTGCAAACTCAATTTTTGGTATGGAATTTGCTGCCGACAATAGCTATGGTAATTTAATACTACGAGCGGTGTGTTAAATTTGAAGGTTACTTTGAATGCTTATCTATCTTATGTTAACACAGGTCAAAACAATGAGGGCTCTTCAGTATTTTCCGACCATTGAAGATCCCAGTACCAGAAGATCCATCTTCGAGGTTCAATTCCTTCCAGAAGACTCTCATTTTTTCGTTTGAAATCTTTCACTCATGAGATGAGATTTCATCTGGCAATTTCCAGGTCCTACAACGGATATTGATGGGGACAGATGTTGTGAAGAATGTGAATAAGAACAATGCATCTCATGCTGTGCTGTTCGAAGCTCTTTCTCTGGTAAGTCTGTAAACAGCTGGTTGGCAACACTATACACCCATAAACTGTCAATGCACCTATTTGCTCTCCCCCTCAATTTCCCATGGCTGCCAAAACAGAAAGTACTTAAAAAGCTAAATAATTGTCATACATTGGACGTTTTCCTTTTTTTTTTTTTACCTTTTTTTACAAGTTCTACTGTTTGGATCCCTAGCATTTTTCATGTGTTTTTTTTTCTTTCAGCCTTTCTTTCTTCTTTTTCTTTTTTCTTGTCATGAAATGAATGAAAATACTTTTGATTTAGCTAGTAATATTCACCCCAAATACAGGTCATGCATCTTGATGCTGAGAAGGAGATGATGTCACAGTGTGTTGCCCTTCTTGGCAAATTTATTTCTGTACGTGAGCCCAACATCAGATATCTAGGCTTGGTGAGTTCTTGTCTGCTTCCTTCCTTCTTGGATAGCCTAGGTAGAACAATTATTTCTGTAGTACTTGGTGGTGTTTCATGTGGTTTGCATGTAGGTCATTCGATTATTAGTTGTTTATAATAAAGCATTGCCTATGTACACTGCAGGAGAATATGACGCGAATGCTGATGGTCACGGATGTTCAAGATATCATAAAAAAGCATCAGGCTCAGATAGTCACCTCATTAAAGGATCCTGACATCAGGTTGGTTGATATTTGAAACATTTTCAATATCAGCTGATATGACGGTTGAACCCAAGCTGCCATCTCTTAATTTTCTGATTTGGAATTGGAACTGATATGTAACTGATGTAACTGATTTAATTTCGAAATATGGTATAGTCATGGTCAATCAGTACAGAGTAATCGATTCTTCTTTCTATATGATGTTATGGTGAATTTATCAAGGAAATGTTTCCTTCAGAATTTAGATTAAATTCATGTTGATTGTAAAGTTTTCAAATTGTAATGGAAATCTGTCTCTCTATATTCTCTGTTAAAGAAAACTATTTTCCTTGACTTATTTCCCCCTGAGAAACAGTTATGATACTCTAGTTACTGTTTTTAATACATTTTCTGATGATATTTATTTATCACAATGGATGACAGGAGTGGATGAGTAACAAAGTTTTTATTTGATTAAACTTTTATTTCCACAATTTACCATGTTAAAGAGTCTTGTAAAGATAGACAATCTTCACTAAGCTGCCCTGTCACTTTGAGGTTAAAACATTGATAGAAAGCCAATTTGTTGAATATATCTTTTATATTTGTTTGATTTATATATTTTTGTATTTGTTCCTTGTCTTTTCTGCAGTCAGTATCAAATTTGCTGATAAATGACAATTTTCCTGCAGTATTCGTAGGCGTGCTCTTGATTTACTTTACGGAATGTGTGATGTGTCAAATGCAAAAGATATAGTTGAAGAGTTGTTGCAGGTAAGTCTTCTTGACTTTGAATCATATTGATATTTCTTGCTTGATAGTTTATTTTATACGGCTGATTTTTAAAATAAGTAAAAGGATTTGGTTGTGAAGTTGTGTAAGCTTTACCTGCATCTGAAAACTACAATGCAGTATCTTAGCACATCAGAGTTCGCGATGCGGGAGGAATTGTCACTTAAAGCTGCTATTCTTGCAGAGAAGTTTGCTCCTGATTTGTCATGGTAAGCGTAGCTTTTACTATAATAGAAATATGTAAACCATATTTTGAGATACACACAATAAAAATAATATGAATTAGCCAGTGGGTGTGGCCTTTTCGAATCTGCCGACACACAGGCAATTGGTCAATGTTTTTCGTTACACAGAATTTTTACTTTTGATATTCCTCAGGTATGTAGATGTGATCCTTCAGCTGATCGATAAGGCAGGCGATTTTGTTAGTGATGACATTTGGTTCCGTGTGGTACAATTTGTAACGAATAATGAAGATCTGCAGGTATTGAAGTTGTTATAGGAAATGTACTCTCTCCTGTTCATGCTATTATGAAGTATTTAAAAGTATCCTTTGTTGGTCAGCCTTACGCAGCAGCAAAAGCAAGAGAATATTTAGATAAACCTGCAATACATGAGACTATGGTGAAGGTTAGTTCATCTTTTCTTCCCAATATCAGTCCCATATGATGCACAATGCTTGTAACCTATGTCTTAACCTTAACATGGTGAATGAAAAAATTTTCTTGCATCTGTTTACTGGTTTCTCTAATGTCAGCCAAATTGAGAGATCTAGTTACATAATTGCTTCAATCTCTTCCATTTTTTTTATGTAGACATTTTGCCAAGTTCAAAATTAACATTGAGTTATATGGCTCGACCTATTTCAGGTCAGTGCTTATATCCTGGGGGAGTATGGTCACCTTCTAGCTAGACGGCCTGGATGTAATCCAAGAGATATGTTTAGCATCATACAGGAGAAGCTTCCCACAGTATCGTAAGAGAAACAACCTATGTATTTCTGTTCCACTCTGAATATCTCTTATTTTGATATACCTTAGGTACCCTTTTGTGTTTACAGGATTTCCACCATTCCTATTCTTCTTTCGACATATGCGAAGATTCTTATGCACTGTCGACCCCCTGATCTTGAACTACAAAATCAGATTTGGACTGTGTTCAAGAAGTGAGACACACTTGCGCTCTTATCATCCCTCCCAATAATTTTAGTTATGTTAACTTATGCTCTTTCTTCAAAGCCGATCCAATTTCTTAGAAGGGATTTCTGTTGGCAGATATGAGAGTTGTATTGACGTGGAGATACAACAGAGAGCAGTTGAGTATTTTGAATTGAGTAAAAAAGGTGCCGCCTTAGCAGATGTGTTGGCAGAGATGCCAAAGTTCCCGGAGCGTCAGGTTTGTTAACTTTATGTCATGATTTGCCCAAGCAGCTTTATGAGAGGCTTTCATCTGTCTGATACATTTGTTGGAATGTTTGGATTGCGAAGAATTTGGCACTCAACTTGTTTCATTTGTTCTGTATCACACTTCCATTTACAGTCTTCGCTAATAAAAAAAGCAGAAGATGCTGAAGATACTGCAGACCAGAGTGCCATCAAGCTTAGAGCGCAACAACAACCATCAAATGCTTTGGTTTTGGCTGACCCCCAGCCTGTAAATGGGAGACCACCGCCTGTAAAGGTTCCAAGCATGAGTGGCAGCTTGGTAAGCACTTCCCTTTTTGGACCGCAGTAAAAGAGAATTTTTCTTTGTTTACCTTGATATATGACACAATTTAATGAATATTTCTCATTATAATTATGTTTATGTTCATATATCTAGCAGGATAATGAGTTAGCAGCTCAACCTCACTCTCATCCAAATGGAACTTTGAGTAAACTAGAACCACAAGCTCCATCAGCTGACCTGCTTAACGATCTACTTGGCCCTCTGGCCATAGAGGCTCCTCCGGGAGGTATGCCAACTGACGACGACCATGATACCATAGGAGCAGAAGGAATTCTGGATACAGCCATTGTACCTGTTGGTGAACAAACACACACTGTGGAGGTTGTTGTTTTCTCTTTCTTCGGCTATCTTAGCATTGTAGTTTTCGCATGGAAAAACTGAGTCATTAAAAAATTTAGTTAATTGTTTCCAATATATCGGTTGAAGGACCGACTTGGCTCGGCGGTAAAACCATTTACCGTGGGGTCTGAAGTCACGGGTTCGAATCCATCTCTCTACATTAAAATATAGAAGTAAGGTGGCCTAGTATATTCCCTTCCACAGCACCCCACTAGATGGAGATACGAACTGTAACCGATTTCCTGATCAGGTCCTTTTTATGTTCCACCTTTTTCTTATTTATAATCCTGCCCAGTGGTATATACCTGTTACCGCAGCTTAGTTCAGCACAAAACCTGAGATGTTTTCTTCTGGTATTCTGTGTTCAGGGGAGTTCTGGATGTTTCCTTTTTGTTGTTCCTGAGGCTCTTATTTTTGTTCTTTTTTTGTTTTTATTCTTCCAAACAGCCAATTGGAAATATTGCCGAGAGGTTTCATGCTTTATGCTTGAAAGATAGTGGTGTCTTGTACGAAGATCCTTATATTCAGGTTTGATTTCTCCTCATCTTACTCTTTACTTTTTTTTATCTGTGTCACAGGTGATACACAGGCAGGCATCTTTTTTTTGTTTCTTGAACCAGTGACGCATACAAGCCATTGGATAATAATTGCGGTCATTGAACATTCTTATGTACCTTTGGTTTTAATGTTTGTTGGTATTTCCACAGATTGGTGTTAAAGCTGAATGGCGAGGACATCATGGGCGACTTGTTCTCTTCTTGGGAAACAAGAGTACTTCTCCTCTTACATCAGTCCATGCCCTAATACTGCCCCCTGTTCATTTAAAAATGGAACTGTCACTTGTACCTGAGACCATTCCTCCTCGAGCACAGGTACGCTAGTGCCAATTTTTTAACTCATTATTACTCATGTGATACTTTGGAGGATAATTTTCCTCCTTTTTCTGTCAATTTATTCCTTTATTTAGTGTTCCATCTTTTGACGTTCATAGGTACAATGTCCAGTCGAAGTGATGAATATCCGCCCTAGTAGGGATGTTGCAGTTTTGGATTTCTCCTACAAATTTGGTACAAACATGGTACTTGCTATAACCTCCTGTCAGATATAGCTTGTTGAATTGTTTTAGCGAAAGATTTCTTCAGCATTATTAACTTAGCTTGTCTCAGTGAATAACAACTTTAGTAGCTATAACTTAGCTCGTCTCTAGTGAATGGCATCTTCAGCATCTATAGCTTTAACTGTCTTGCTGGTCCCTTTATAGGTCAGTGTCAAACTACGGCTTCCTGCAGTCTTGACTAAGTTTCTTCAACCTATACAACTTACAGCCGAAGAGTTTTTCCCTCAATGGAGATCACTTTCAGGACCACCATTGAAGCTTCAGGAAGTTGTATGTATATCCATGACATCCCCTATGCTGTAGCAAATGAAAGGATAGAATTGCAGCAGGGAAGAGCCAATTTTCTCTCAGACAGCTTTTCTTTCAAAGAAAAAAAATAGTCAAACATTTTTTTAATGGGTCACTCAAGTGTGATCTAGGGTGTTTGAATTATTTAGAAGTACCGAACTTCAATATCATTCTTTATAGTGCATTCTATTTTTCTTATTGATGTCACTAGTAATGGAATGAATCTGCAAAATCTTGCAGATTAGAGGTGTTAGACAATTTCCTCTTCCAGAAATGGCGAATATGTTCAACAATTTCCGAGTGACAATATGCCCAGGGCTTGTAAGTATAATACATGAGTTTACTCCCTCATTCTTTTTACTTGCATACATATGTGTGCTCATCTTCTGTGGTTTTCCCGTTGTAGGATCCAAACCCTAATAATCTTGTGGCAAGCACAACCTTCTATTCCGAAAGCACAAGAGCGATGCTTTGTTTGGTGAGAACTTTATACCCATTTCGAGATCTAAAGCTAGTTTTCTCATTAACGATTCCGGTACTGGCTGGTGTTGTGATCATCAATTATTTGGAAAATGTGATGGACACTACGAAAGAGATTAAACCAGTTTCCGAAATCATTGTCTGATGAGTGATAAAAAGTAGCAAAACCAAGTTTTGTTACACCTAGAGTGCATCGCAACCTTGCATCAGTAGGAACCCATGTGTAACTGATGCAGGAAGATAGTGCAATATTAAGATTCAGTAGCGTGACATGTTCCTTGTTTTTATGATTTCCAGGTAAGAGTCGAAACAGACCCAGCAGACAGAACCCAACTGCGGATAACAGTTGCATCGGAAGATCCTACGCTTACATTTGAGTAAGATCTCTCCATCCGACCCTAGCAAGGCAAACGTTTCTCATCTCTAGCACAACCTCTTGCATTTTTTTGGTTGACCTCTGTATCTACAGGTTGAAAGAATACATCAAGGAACAACTAATCGTCGTCCCATCGGGTCGAGCCCCCACTCCAGCACTGCCAGCTCCAGTACCAGGACCAGTAGCTCAACCACTTAGTCCAGCGGTCGCAGAAAATGATCCCGGAGCTCTACTGACTGGCTTGCTTTGATTCTCAAACCGGGTAAGAAAACTTCACAATCTTCCAATGGGCTAAACTCATATTCTAGAAGGTGAAAATGCGATCTCACATGAGGGCTTTCCACGAGAATATGTCCCAAAAAAAAAGAAAAGAATGGGAGAGAGAGGTGGGGAGAATACACGTTTGGAGGGTCATAGGGAGCTAATTTTGATCTGATTCGTTGTGCATTTGCTTATGAGAAAAATTTTCTTGGGCGAGTCGGTCGGAAAATTTATTGCATTCTTTCTGCACATTTGTATTCTAAGGTTTTTGGGGGATTGAGGGAGTTGAGAGTGTCTTTTTTCTTCTTTGTTCATCATTTCCTTGTTATTGCACTATATGTATATATAGAGAGAGAGAGAGAGAGAATGTTGGGGTGTTATTTTTCTCCAAGTAGAGAAATCCGTTTGTAAACTTGGAAGTATTATGAATATATGTATCTATGTCCATGTTGGCCTCTTCTATATTATAAATATGAAACTATGTCCAAGCGGGAAACTTTCTTGCACATTCAATGACATAATTTTGAAAATCCGGATTTAGAATTCAGAATTTATTTGACAAAAAATTTAGTTTAGATTTTATTTTGATAAATTTGACAAGTGAAGTAATATTCTACTAATTTTCTTTTTTTGGGTCCTACACGAATTTTTATTTGGATAAAAATCATATTCTTTTTTCTTTAAAAGAAAGAATATTGGATCGAAATCAGAGAATGTAACATAATAATCATCACCCCGACCAAAACAGCATTCTTCTACAAACACAAATTTTGATCCTGTTGATGATGGTGGCAGAGGTCCATTCCATTACGACCACCAAGAAAACTTAATTAAATAAAAACGAAAGTTTCATAAAAAAAACAAAATCCAAGAGCACGAACTATCTCATTTTGAAGCAGACAGAAACTATCTTCTATTGAAAAACCAGTTCAGCTCACTTGCCACTGTGCTTTCCCTTGTTGTGCGAGTGCGACTGCTTTCCCTTGTTGCCTGAGTTAAACGGCCTGCGTGTCATCATCATCATCATACATATTAATCATCATCATCACCATCATCATCAAATCATATATATATATATATATACATTTCTCAAACCATAGAACTTACTTCTTGCCAGAACCGAAGGACTTCTGACCAAAGGATTTTGGGCTCTGTTTTGCATCTACAGGTGATTTCCCACCCTTCTTTGCCGGGTGCGGTGTAGCAGTGTGTGGACCCTTTTTCTCTCCTGCACCAAAACACAAGTCTTTCAGCAATATTTCCGCTGGAAAAAAAAAACCCCGAATTTTGGGTACCAACCAAGCCGAAGATCAGGTACCCGGACACTATACGAGACGAGAACAAGTTAACGCCGTGAAGAAAAAAAACAAAAAATCGATTTCAGGTAATTGGTTTCGAGATCTAGCATTACCTACTGATACACAAATGAATAGTAAAATGACATTTTGATCCTATATCTTAGAGATATTACATGTACAATTACTAAACTATTTCGCAATTTTGGATTTAGATCCGGATAACTCAAATTCGAATGACAAACAACCCTTAATTTATTATATATATATTTTGAAAGAAAAAAATCAAAATTTTGTATTTACCCGAAAATATCTCAATAACCAACTTTCAGAAAATATCTTGTGCGATCCAAGACATTCAAGTTTGGATTCAAATAACCCGAAAATCTCATATACCAGACCCATGTCAACCACTAAATTAACCCCCACAGGGACAGTGTTAGTTTCAACCCTGAAGTCCTGAAACTAATACTTGTTAAGTCTCTCATGCCGTTCTATTGATTTAGCCAGCCAACAATGATCCTAATGAACACTGTCAAAGCCTAATAAGTAATATCTCATTTTATTTACCTGTCTTTGGCGGAGTGACTGCTGCCTTCGCCTTCTTAGCTGAGACTGGTGTTTTGGATGCAGACTCATTCACCCTCTTCTTAGTTGGTTCAACCTTTACATAAGTACAACAATACGAAAGGAGAAATTTTTATCATCTCAAGTTTAAGAAACTTGTGAAAGGTTTACACTTGAGAATTATCAGTGAGTGATATACCTTCTTAGGGGTCTCGTCATCTTCATCCTCAGAGTCCTCATCTTCATCCTCTGAGTCATCTGAGTCATCAACATCCATCTGCAAGTAATTGTCATAGACAAATTCATCACCCAAGATTCTAGAGAACCAAATTGCATTTCTGTCAGCAATCGTCTAAAATGGGTCGGCACAAAAACTCACTCCTTCCTCAGAATCAGATTCATCATCTTCGTCAGAGTCATCATCCTCTGATTCAGGCTTTACGTTCTTTTTCTCTTCTGGAGCCTTGGCCTTTGGCTGTGCCTCTGCCTTGGCAGCATCCGCCTTCTCATTCTTAACTGCAACTCCAGGCTTTCCTGGACAGCAAAGGATAAGAACACATCAATATACAACAGAGTCAACTGCAGCCATTGACAGATCAACCTCTTCAAGCGACTAGCGAGGATGCATACCATTCAAAGTTATAGCTGCAGGGATCTCCTCTTCATCTGATTCTTCTGAACCTGTGAACATGATGCACTGACTCGTGAGAAACAAGGGCACCATTTAATGACAGAAAGAAGAAACAGAACACCGAGAGAAACGTTTCTTCACTCACCCGAAAAAAATCCCTCATCATCTGTGTCGACAGAATCCATAATAGTAAAGGAAACAACAGAAACACCGGTCAACATAATCAAAGAAACGCACCATGACAAACTAAAACATAGTCAACTTCGGACTCCTCAAGTCAAAACAAAGTCAATGCCCAATGCAAGAGACAAAAACAAACAGAGACACACACAAAATCAAGAAGAAAGTTGTCAAGGATATTGTTCATCAACGTTCGGGGATTTGTATCCAATAAAGTAGACGCTCCCATTCTTCCAGTTGTGAGAAAGTTCAAATTCTTTCTCAAATACCAAATCGAAACTGATCTGGGGGAAGTTTTCTTGGGAAAGGGTTCCCAGAACAAGTTTCTTGTCACCAATCTTCACAAACAGGGGCACTGATTCTCCTCCCTTTTTGCCGTTCGTCTCACCAAGAGATGCCTGCATGCATTACAAAAAATAAAAGGACAATGAGTACTGTCCTGTTGAACTGAAAAGTTCAGAATTGATCCTCGGCATTTGAATACTGACCTGAGAGATGTGGATAAGGGCATCCTCGTCAGGCGCTACTTTAACAGGCTTCCCTGCTTTGACTTCGACTCCTAATTGTACAAATAATCAGCAAACAGCATCAGTTACGTAAGAAAATTACAACTTGAGTATAGACCGAAACATCAATGACTATGGCAGAGTTGGAACTCCTTTTGAGTTTGAAACAGATAATCGAAACTCTCAAGCAAAAGAGCCCAACACAGTATGACGCGACAAAAGGAGACGGAGAGTGCAGAGCATAAAACATGTGGTTTATCGAGCAAAATCGGTCTTCGAGTGCGAACCCAGAAAACAAAACAGAAGCGACAACAACTGATGATGTAATAAAAGCGCGATTTCGAGCAGAGTAAACAACGGCGGAAAAAAAACGAAGTTTCACCATTTGCATATCAAATTACGAGAACTGAGACTGACATTGAAACGGAAACAAGTGGAAGGAGAGAAGATTCTTACCCCAGAACTCCATGACTAAGAATCGGGAACAAATAGAGTTTAAAAAAATGGAGAAATGAGGAATCAGGGCTTTCGAGCAGAGGGAGAAAGTGTGCGAGAAGAAGCGAGGGGTTTTGGGGTCAAATTTATAATGGAGAGGGTTTTAGAAGAGCCTCCTACGCTCGCTAGGGTTTTGACATTTCACATTACGACGTCGTACCAAATACCGAATATGGAAACAAAGCTTATGGGCTTTCTTAATCTTGGATTTATTATGGGCCCTTTATAAAATTATAGATGAGTTTTTCGGGCTTTATTTTGGTCAAATGGATACTCGCAAATCATTCATTTAAAATCCATAAAAATTCTTCAAACTTAAAAAAAAAAATATAGTGGAAAACAAATTTTTAAATTTTTCATTTAACAAATTTATTTCTAAATTTATAAAATATATAATTCTAATTTTCAAACTTGCGAAATATATTATTATAATTTTAAAACTGATTTTTGAACTAATATTATCGAGATTTTTTTTTTTTGATAAAAGGCATTTTGTATTAAATTGAGACATGGTACATAGTGATACTTGCTTCAGCAAGAGTCAAAATAACAAATTACAGACCAGCGCGTTAGTCACCTACGAGACGGGAAAGGGGAGATTAATCTTATCTCATAGTTGAAAACCAGAATTGGATACTTCTACTTGCCCATTCGGGTGATGCAGTCCTCAGTGCCGCTATTCTGGTACGGAAGGAACGGTCCACCTCATCAATAAGCTGTTGAGGACCCCGAAATCTCTGCGTATGCAATCTCTGATTTCTCTCCCGCCAAAGAAGATAAGTACAAATCTGCCAAATGGAACAAGCAGTCCAACGCACAATCTTGCAACTTGGTAATGTCAGCAGTCCCTGAACTATAAGCCACGGGGGTATGAAGGGAGGAGTAGAACCCTCCCTAATGTAGCAGCGAGTACCGAATAAGAGAATGGGCACACGTAGAATATATTATCTCTAGTCTCCCCTGCAGATTGGCAAAATAAACAGCCAGGATCCGTATGCAACCCCCAAGAAATTAGTCTATCTCTAGTGGGACAACAATTTAGGTGGATAAGCCAACAAGTGAAAGCATATTTAGGTATGTGCTTTTTATGCCAAACCAAGATCGTCCAAGGCTCCGGCTGAGAATTCCCGTACAAACACTTCCAGACATCATGAGATGAGAAGTCAGGGAGTACCTTTCCACATACTTGCCAGGTTACCGCATCTTCCTCCTGAGTAAGGGTAGAATCTGCAAGATAAACCGCCAGTTGTAGTGCTTTATCAGTTCGAGGAGGCGGAATCTGCCAAATTTCGTCAAGATAAGCTTCTGCCACTGTTTCCTGCAGATGGATGCCGAGTTGTACAGGACCTCCTCTACCCAACAGATCGACTAAGGGGCCGAGCGGTGTCCACGGATCGAACCAGAAGCTAGTTCGCTGACCATTTCCAACAATTACGCGGAAAAACCCTGCTGCCCAGCCTCTTAGCTTGAGGAGACGCCTGAAAGTCCAGGATTGAGTTGACTTAATTGTGACTGACCAGAATGAGGATCTGGCGAGATATTTGCATCTAATCCAGCCAACCCAAAGGGAGCCAGCCCTGAAAAATAAACACCATATGAGCTTCAGTGCAGCAATATCATTCCAGAGGGCTAGGTTCCGAAGTCCTAGCCCTCCCTGTCCTTTTGGCAGTGTCACCGAATCCCAGGCTACTCTGGCTCCCTTGGTCGAATCAGATTTGCCCTTCCACAAGTAGGCCGAACAAAGCGAGTTAACCTGTCGAATAATAGTCTTCGGTAGGATAAAGGCGCTGCACCAAAAACCTAGGATCCCCGAAATGACTGACCTGAGTAATTGTAACCTGCCCGCAAAAGAGAGAGACTTGGCTGTCCAAGATTCAATCCGGGATCGGATCTTGGCTATTAGTGGTTGATAGTCTGTGGAGGATAGCTTTCTTGAAGACAAAGGTAGACCCAAATAACGGAATGGAAGATCTGCAGATTCAATCCCTATAATTCGCACCATACCTTCCAGCTCTTGCTGGCTGCATCCCCCAGCATAGAGGCTTGATTTGGCTTTATTGATGCTGAGTCCCGAGAGTTCACCGAATTGCTGGAGAATTAGTGACAAAGTTTGCATCGAGGTGTCCGAGCCGTCCGTAAAAACCAATAAGTCATCAGCGAAGGCCAGGTGGGTGATGGCTGGTCGTCGACAACCTGGGTGATAACCCAGGCGGTTGCCTTCTGCTGCGCGGTCTAGCATGTTCGATAGAACCGACATCGCCATAATGAACAAATAAGGAGAAAGAGGACAGCCTTGGCGTAATCCTCTAGTACCTTGGAAGAAACCGAACAATCCTCCATTGACAGTGACCGAAAAGTAAGGTGATGTTATACATGCCTCTATAGGTTTCATCAGATAGTCTGGCACTCCTATTAGTCGAAGAACTGACAACAAGAAATCCCACTCAACTGAATCAAATGCTTTGGCAATATCGAGCTTAAGTGCAATTCTCCTAGAGATGCCTCTCCTTTTGTACCCCTTCAGGATTTCGGCTGCTAGTAAGCAACTCTCGGTAATGCTACGCCCACGGATGAAAGCTGCCTGATTCGGCGGGGTTACCGCTTCGACTATCGGTTTTAGCCTCGATACAATAAGTTTAGTGATCACCTTATAAATGGTGTTGCAGCAAGAGATAGGTCTATAGTCTGATAACTTTTCTGCACCCGGGATCTTCGGGACCAAAACCAGCGACGTTGCATTGACTGCTCTAGGAAGGTATGCAGATCTGAAGAAGTTCTGAATTACTGTCGTGAATTCCGTACCTAATGTATCCCATGCCTTCAGAAAAAACTCAGCCGTAAACCCGTCAGGTCCCGGGGTTTTGTTTGAAGGCATAGATTGTAGGACTGCCTTAATTTCAGCTGCTGTGAAAGGAATTGAAGCCGCCTGCAAGACACTTGGAGGAGCTCTGCCTATAAACCCCTCAATGGCAGCAATATGATAGGAGAGGTGACGTGGAGATCTGGGACAGCCAAATATTGACTTGAAGTAGTCGACAGCTAGGCCCGCTATGCGATCAGGGTCAGTAATTCGTTGGCCATCCGAGGAAACCAAATGACGAATCGTGTTTTTGGAATTTCTAATCAGCATAGATCTGAAGAAGAAACGAGAGTTCTGATCCCCTGTCCTGAGCCAGTGAATACGCGACCTTTGTTTAAGAAATTTCTCTTCTATCTCCTTTAGGTGAGTCCAGCGGGTGAAGCATTGGTGTTCTTCAGTGAAGGTTGCTGCACAAGGATTCCTAAGAGCGTTATCCTGCGCAAGAGACAACAAGTTATGTGAATCGGCCACCTGTTTTTGGATACCACAATAATTGTTTTTGCAAAGAGTTTTGATAGGAATTTTTTGCTTCCTTAGTTTGAGATGAAACTCCGATAGCGTAGAAGCCCGATGTCCCGCCATTTGCCATGAGGATTGAATGGTTGGAATGAAGGTCGGGTGGTCCAGAATGAAATTGAACACTTTGAAAGGTTTAGGACTTGTTTTTGTGGTCGGCTTAAGGGTTAAAAGGCACGGGCAATGGTCTGACGGGTTGGGGTGGGTGAAGGTAGCATGGCTCCGAGGGAAGGAGAGTAGCCAGGAGGCATTAACCAAGACGCGATCCAGCTTTTTAGCAATCGGATTGCTGACCTGTTTATTTGACCAAGTGAAGAGCGGACCTTGGTATGGTAAGTCAAAAATCTCAGTGGTAAGAGTCAAGTTCCTGAACCTAAAATCAATTTTGCAATCAATTTTAGCTGCGATTTGTAATTTTTGGAAATTTTCGCTGGTTAATTTTTTGATTTTTTTTTCAATAAAAATATTTCACCGCAAAGACTTTACGATTTGTCATAATATTTTTGTTGCTAAAAGTTCGCAAGGAAGTGCATTGTTATATAACTGTTTTAATTTTTCTAGTGTTTTTCAGAACACCTTTGACAAATTCAAATAATTTATAAATATTGAATAAAATATCAATTTAAAACATTTGTATATATATACACATGTATATAACACGCATATATATATATATATAAGTATATATAGACATGAGCGCAGACGTGCATTGGTGCATACGCGTTATGAATGTGCATATACACGTATATCATATAAATTATATAGGGGAAATCGCCATAAAAACCCTGTACTTTTCCCAGGTCAACGAAAAAACCTTGTACTTTTTTGCTTACCAATTAAACCCTATATTTGGTATGATTAACCAATAAAACTCCAAACTTGTTAATAATTCACCGAAAACCTCCCGCCTCTGCCAACTCAAACAAAAATGATGATGTGTCAATGACTTGGTTTCCAAATTATGTACACATCATCAAAATTATGACACATCATCATTTTACATAAAAATAAATATCATAATTTATTTAAATTAATTTATATACATATAAATTCAGTAGCAATATGATAGGAGAGGTGTCGTGGAGGGGCTCTGCCTATAAACCCCTCAATTATCGAGATTTTTTATAACACCAATTAACAAGTTTTGATTAACAAAAAAAATTAATTACAAATTTGAGAATTATAATGATATATTTTATAAATTTAATAATAAATTTGTTTAACAAAAATTTTAGGAATTTATTTTCCATCAAGTTTAAGAATTTTTATAAGTTTTACCTTCTAGAATTCGATACAATGAACGATATTTTTTTTCATTTTCAGTTACAAAATAAATATTGAACAAATATTACCCAAGGTGGACATTCCTCGCCCAATTAAATAGCAGTATCAATTAAACCCGAATTTAATGTCATAAAAACGGAAATATTTTAATAAATAGATTTTCTGTTGAAAATGGAATCGAAATTATCGAATAAGACCAACCCATGTAAAAAATAAATGGATAAATTTTTTATAAAACTAAAATAATTGAATCTAAAATTAATATAATAAAAACCCGAGGTATTCAGAATTAATGCTGTACACTACATAATACCTAACCGGTTCAGCCAAACCGAGCCTGGAATCGCATCCCAATTCGTTATTTGTCATGGCCGATTTATACATTAAAAATCATATAATATCAAACCAATAATAGAATACGAAGAAAAATTCTCCATTTCATTCGTAACAAATATAGTTGTTACAATATATATATATATATATATAATTACATAATTTGATATTTAAAACTGGTGAGTGAGTGTAGTGTTAACCGAAATTAAAAACCGAATTAAGAATCTAAACCGAAACTAGAAACCAAAACCGGAACAAGACGGCAGACCCTCAGCTCTTTCCACCTACCAATACCAAATACACTATCCATGAGCTCTCCACCAACCACCGCACTCCTGATTTGATTTCTCCATTTCTTTCTCTTATAAAAATTATTAACGATATTGTTTTTTTAATAATTAATTATCTTGCATAATACTCATCACATTATATAGTATAAAGAAATTATTGACAAATCGCCCTCTACGCGGTTGATTATCGCCAACCACTAACACGTTTGACCCACCTGAAATGTAAATTTAACTTTTAAATTTTCTTATGTATAATTATAATTGTGATTATGAATAGTAACAGAGATGGCGTCATTATGATATCGGAGACATCGTGGACCATATGGTTGATTGATTTGTGTCAACGTAGGAATGTAAATTTCGTGGAAATTATATGAATTTACATTAAATTTATTTCCCCCAAGAATGTAAAATTCGTGGAAATTTATATCGACTGTGTTAACGCTTTGATGAATTTCCGGCAAAATTATATAAACAATCTATTTCATGGAAATTTGCATACAAGACAGAAAACAAAATAAATAAGAAAACAGAAACCCTCTTGAAAAAAAAAAAGAAAACAAAGAACAATAGCATCAAATCGCGGGAGAAATAAAATAAATATTAATCTCCCACGAGAATAACGAGCTCTAAATTTCCTTTGTTCACTATTTCACAATTCAACAAATAATATAATTAACCTTATTATATTATTATAATTGCTATTATTAATTGGTGCATGATGATATGGTTTGGTAGTTGAGTCATGCGTCGTCTCCGCTCGATGACGTGGACCATGACGTCATATCCATGGGATAACTTCCAAGCACTCGGAGAAACGACGTGTACTCCTGCACCTCAGCCAGCGCGTTCTGTGCACGCGCCTCCGCCATTGATGCCTCGAAGTCCAAGTAGAACATGTACTCGAACAGCTTCGCCGTCCCCACGTTCCCGTCGTCGACGATCCTCAACGGGCGGTTGAAATGCGGCCGCGATTCGATCTTCGTAAGGCTTATGTTCCGGAACGCAAACGCGGAAAGAACTTTGAACAGAACGCTGGTCCCATTTTGCTCCTGCGCCGCGAACACGATGCTAGTCTTGAACGGCCGGTCCGTACGAGGGATGATCGGCTCACGTGCCAGCATCAGAAAGCGCGTGACATTCCCGGAGTCGTCTTGGATCCCGTCAGCGAGGATCTGAAGGCCGTACAGATTGGCGGCGCGTGAGCTCGCCACCGCTGCGGTGTCGCGGAGGTTGTTGGCGGTTATGTATGCTGCCGCCGCCGCGGTGTCGTGAAACGACTCACGCGCCGCCTTAGGGGTGAGCTTGTCGAGCGACTTCTCTGTCTGAGCGAGCGCCTGAGGATGCGAGATCACACGATTGATCTGATCTAAACGGACGCCGGGGAGGGCGAGGAGGCAGTGGTGGACCGGGATTTGGACCTCGCCGACGATGTGGAGGCGGTGGCGGAGGAGGAGATCGTAGTTCCGGTGGATCGAGCCACCGAGAGAATTTTCCACCGGGAGAACGGCGCGATCGGCGATCCAGAGCTCCACCGCCTGGAACGCAACATCGAACTGGTCGCAGGGGATGGCTTCGCAGTTCGGGTAAGCTTTTCCGGCGGCCGCCTCCGAGTACGCGCCGGGCACTCCCTGGTACGCGACTCGGAGCTTGGATCCGTGCAACGGCGCCGGCGAGAGGTCGGTTATCGTCAGCGGCTGAATCGCTGTCGCTGGAGATTTCTCGTTCTGGTTCTCGACGTGGACGAGGCCGAGGTCAACGGCGGTGTTGTTGTGACCATTGACGGCGGCTACCACGGCGGCGGTGGCGGAGACTTGGAGTATCAATTAAACCCGAATTTAATGTCATAAAAACGGAAATATTTTAATAAATAGATTTTCTGTTGAAAATGGAATCGAAATTATCGAATAAGACCAACCCATGTAAAAAATAAATGGATAAATCGCTGTGACATCGCGTTGGTAAAACGCGCGCTCCTGGCTGTCGGATTCGTCCTGAAAGCGGAAGTGAGATCACACGACGATGCAGACGAAGCGACTTGCATGATTTGTGCCCCCAACAAAAATGAATTTTGGGAAGAAAAGAAAAAGAATGAAGAGTACAAAACGACGGTTGAAGCTTGGAGTTCTTTCTGGAGAGAGAAACTCAAGCTGAAGAGCAGAGGAAGGTGATGAAGGGGTTTATATACGGCAGAATATGCCAAAGAGACAAAAAAGTCTAAGCATGTCTCGAGGGTAAATCGGTCAGATCCTTCACCTACCACCTTCCATTTATTTTCCTTCCAATATGCATATTTTAATTTTATACTTCCGTATTAAATTTCGGTATATTATATTTCGTTTTCGTAGTTTCACTTCAAATAATAATGATCTCAATATTTATATATTGCACATTTTTTGCCTTTTGGAATGTTTTCTAACAACAAATTTGGGATTCAAATACCAAACAACTACGTTTCGTTCCATGTGGATCGATTGATAGTTTATTTTATTTTATTTTATCCAATCATATATGAAACGATGTTTTTGAAATTGGAAAATAATTTTTTAAGCATATAGTCTTAATAAGACTAAGGATGAGAAATTTTATTAAATAATTGTTAAATAAATTTAAATTAAATCAGTGTTAAGTGATGATAGCACTTTCAAATATTCAATTCGTACTAATCTAAAATAATAACCTAAAATGGATACAAAGATTTTATATAAATAAAGATTAGGTCAATTGTTTCCTTTTTATTATATATGTATGCTTTGATAGGAAAAAATGATTTTTTTTTGTGTACGTGTAAACAATGCAATGGGCCTCTAACTATATTCTCGGTTATCATCTTACTGCCTTTTTCGGATCAAGTAGTAGCAATCTCTACCCGAGCAAAAATTGGTATAAATGTCGAGCCACGCGTCGCCCATGAACTCCTTTTGCTGGATTCGCACTTTGCGTTGGATTTCATTTTTCGAGTTTTTAATTCGGAATACTATTTCTTTAAATAATAATAATAATAATTTGGATCGTTGATTATGAACAATGGTATAAATGGTGTGCATATTCGTTCTAATGTGTTCGGCATGCATACGACTTCTCGTGCAAATAATAATAATAAGAATAAGAATAATAAACTATATATTATTCGTTCAGAATTATAATGGATGTTAATTAATATATCTCCAATAAAATAATTAATGTTATATTAAATTCTCTATTTATCAAAGTTGAATGAGCTTTGTCTGGTTATTCGATCTTAACGCATAGACGAAATATATAAAGAAAGATTGTCACAATTTATTTAAAAATATCAGATTGAAAAATGAGGTTTTTGTTATGCAAAGGATATATATATGTTTGCATCTTCTATACACTCGCTAGCTTTCATATAAAAAGCCAATTTTAATTATTTTCGATGTAGATGAAATGTGGAATGTGGAATGTGGTATAAGCGAGGAGGCATAATTAGAAAAATAAAATAAAATAAAAAGCTTATACCATATAGTACAAGTATATTGAACGAAAGGTGATAATTAATTATTATAATATTCTTGATAAAATGCTAATGATTATTAATTTTCTTACGTTTACAAAACTGTTTCAGAAGACTATAAATCTTTCGTTAAAAAATGAGAATTTTTCCGGCCCCAACTGATATGATTGGACTTGTAACACATATATTTTGATTAGATATATAGCTTGGGGAAAGCGTGTTTTTCTTTTCTTTTCTACACAACAATATCATAGTATTTTGATTAGATAAATAATTAATAATTTAGGCAATAATGTTGGCCGATTTATTGACCGTAAAATTTAAATTGGTGGGGGTTGTTGAAACTTATTTTTAAGCTCATGGCAAAGTTGGTGAGACCCTATATATAATATATATATATATATATAAACATGTTGATTTGTTATCTTTATCTCTTATTTTTAATGTTGAATTTTGAATAATATATTTTAATGGTCAATTTATATCAATAACGCTTTATACATGTATTTATAATATAATTAGTGAAAAATGTAGAATTTTGTGTAATTACAACTTTTAGTTGGTTTTCAAAGAATAAAAATGAAAGATGATGTTATATTTGATTATATGAATCTTTAAGTATGGAAGATCCTCTCTTTTGACGTTAGGTCGAATTGGTGGGTGGGAATGGTCTTTTTAATTATATATTATATTTCTTTTGTAATCCAAAGATAGAAATCGTAATAGCGAGTATTTAAGATATGGTCAAAAGAACGTTTTATTTAAATATAAAATACAATAGGACATGTTTTTCATGTTTTACGTCTTCGTACGAACAAGAAACTGGTCCACTTACACGGCACGTGAAGCGTTTACGGTTTACACCACCAGAAGAGACTAGTCATTCATGGAACCATGCAAGGACCCAGGAACGTAAAAATTCAGAGAACTTACAAATACATACATACACTACGCGGATAATTGGGTCTGTATTTTATTTTCGGGCCCGTTTACAAGAAAGAATTAGGATGTAAAATACGCTCAACTCGCGGGTTATTTGACAATCTATATTTTTCTAAATTGGGTTAAAAAAATTGAGGTCTAAACAAACGAGCCCAAAGAACCAATTTCAAATTTTTGGCGAGGCAGTTCGCGAATCTACGAATTAGTCCGTCAACTAGAAAAAATATAATTTTAAAATTTTTAATATTTTTAGAAGATACGTAAAAAAAAAAAGCATATACTCTTATCATGTCGATGAAAAAATCTTTTACTTTTTTTTGTTGCTAATTAAATCATATACTTTGTACGATTAACTTATAAAATTATAAACTTTTTAAAAATCGTCGAAACCCCGTGTTTGACAACTCAAACAAAAATAATGATATACCAATTTTCTAAGTCATGAACGCATCATTACAATTATGTCATATCATATTTCAAACAAAATTTTAATTGAATAATTACTTATAATTAATAATATATATAGATATAAATATCCACAACACGTATATATTATAACTTATATTATAAATAATATATTAAAAATTAAAATATTTTTTTAAATTTTTAATAATTTTAGATAAAAATTGTAATTTTTAATAGATATTTAGTTTGTTTTGTATAAAATTTTAATTTTTTTATTATACATAATATTTAAAGTGCTTCCGCCTCAATTCATTTGGCATCACTACGAATTTTATTAAATAAACTAGTAAACCAAATTACTCTCATTTTTTTCTAACTTTGGCGATGGAGACATAAGCGAAGAACATGACAACAACAAGAATGGAGAGTTTTGAGAGCTTGTGAAAGACGTTTAAATTACGTTAAACGATTTATGATATCTGTCGATGTGGGACCGTTTGATAGACATCCGATGATCAGTATATACATGTGGAAACATCATCGTCAAAAATATCGAAACCTTCCATGTGCATGGCGGCTTGAAAATGCAGCGTTTTGCTCAGACGCGCACAACTTGATGTCGTTCATAACCGCGATAAGATAATATCCTTCATCCGACGGACGAAAACGGAACATTCCCTGTTAAGAAGCCACAAACATAACTAAAAAGTTATAAATATTAATGATAATAATTATGAAATTTTATGTCAAATATAATTTTAATTATTTATCATGCACGGGAAAACCAAACATCAACACTTTAACAACTTCATCCAAAGCCAAGGAGAACGAGGGAGGTGAGCCAGACACGAGTCGAGTCGGTTCGTTTGTTTGTCTCGTGATCTAAGGTGAATGTAATCAAACTAAATAATTTTCAACTAGCCATGAAAAGAGTCGGATTTGGATGGACTAAAAAATTTTGAGATCGAAATGGATTGGGATAGACAGGATCATGTGAATAACCTATAGCTGTATGCCACGTGTGTATCACCTGGTTAGAACGGACAAAGCAAAATGTTACGGTCCCCGTCACGAGGGAATTAGAAAATTTCCTCGAATTCTCGACCCAATTTGTAATACAGTAATCTGATTAGATTTTCGATGTTTTTCAAATCTCCACCGCAATTCCACGTTTGGGCTTTCAAGTCCAGCAGTATCGAGTTCTTTGAAATTTGGGCTTTCAAGCCATCGTACAATATGGGCCTTCTCAATGGGCCCATTCTCCTCACACAAAACAAGACGCATTTAATGTTGCCGCGTAGGCATTATTAATCATATCTTATAAAATTACAGATAGTGGTGGAGGTAGAGGAGGTCGTGGATAGTGTCGGTCCACTTATACAAATAAAACTTATTCAAATCTCCCAGTTACTGATTCTTCGACACCGACCGTATGACCTTCACGAACGAATCTATGTTTTCACCTAAAGATCCGTTTTCAAGAACCCTCTCTTTCATCTCCTTGGCTCGTTTCCTCATCTCCTTCGACTCGTTATGGTTCGGATCCATGATTTTCTTAACGACCTCGACGATCTTCTCCCTCGGCACGAGAGCTTCGTCGTGACGCTCCTTAACTTTCAACCCGATTCTCCAATCTTCAACGATTAACTTGCTAATGAGAATCTGATCGCCGTAGAACGGGAACGTTAAGAACGTGACTCCGGCCATGACGCCTTCTTTCGTCGAGTTCCAACCGCAATGGCTCCAAAACCCTCCGACCGATCTGTGTGACAAAACCCTAACTTGGTCGCACCACGGCACGACAAACCCTTTGTCTCCGCGTAGTTCTTTAAGCCCATCGGTATTGGACCGAGCCACTAGCAAGAAGTTCACACCGGTTTCGCGTAAACCGGCCATGACTTCATCCATTTGTTGAGGTGAAACCGGGACGTGGCTCCCGAAGGCGATGTACAGAACGGAATCCTCCGGTCGGCCGTCGAGCCACTTGATGTAATCTTGGTCCACGTGGTGGCTCGGGCCATGAGCCACGTTGCTCGTGGGTGGTGCGACGGTGAGCAATGGGGTTTTGAGGATGGCTCGTAAGCGGTCCAACGCTTGTGGTTCGAGTTCGTAGATGGAAGAGATCATTACACATTGAGTTTTTGGGACGAGAGAGAATGCTTCTCGAAACTTTGGCAGGATAAAGTCATGAAGGCCATTGAAGACGCCGAGAATCTCGTGGAGACTGGTCGGAGAGAGTCCCGGCACGTAGTCCACTCTCACATCATTTGCCTCTGCCAGGAAAAAATATACATAGATAGAAAAAAAGATATATAATATAAATATTTTTATTAGAAACTCTTAAGATTAAAAACCACGAGATGATTCTACAACCACATATTTGTTTAGGGTTTTAAAAATTAAAAACACTGGGTGAGAAATTGCATAATCTTTTCTTGCCTGACAATTGAAGGTTGTAGTGCCCATTTTGCTCTAGAAGGTGAAGATGTTGGTACAAGGTGAACATGGCGACGGATGTCGGCCAGAAAGCGGCCACCGGAATATTCCTCCGGCCGGCGACCCTCACGGCGGCTTCGAGGAGAAATGTGTCGGCGACGAGGAGACACGGAGGCTCCTCCGTACCATCGAGGAGTTTCTCAAGAGGAGCCTCCATCTTCGTGAGCACCGCTTCGATGAAGTCGCGAAAGTCGCCGGCTTTTGCCAACTCGGCGAGCACAACGTCCTCCAAGACCACGACGGAGATGCGGCGGGGT